TTCAACGGGTAGCTTGGAGATAGGTAAGATTAGAAGGCGCAGAGCCATTGGGAAGAGTAAAAACGGGTTCAAGTGCATTTGATTTAATAAAAATGTATGCGTCTCTTTAATGTGTCACTTCATGTTACAATTGGTGGTATATCAGTAAAAGAGCGAGCAAACAGAAATGGGAAGATGTATGAAATTGTGTTTGATCAAATATGATTTATTTGCTCCAAGTTATTATATTGTGAGCGCAAATGGAATAATCATCCCGAGAGGCAAAAATAAGTCATGGAACGAATGGGCGCAGAATTGGTTATTGAGCGGTGCAGACGCAGGGACAATCTGGACCTTTGTCGCTTAAATCTATCACACGGCAAGAGAAGTTTGGCGGGAACGGTTAAGGATTAGATCTGCCAGTAAATGGTGGGAGTCTGCAGGAGTAACACCCTAGCTGTTGCGCGCTCCTCATTCACGCCACCGGTTCGCAAAGATGGTCGCCCCGGATCCAATCGGTAAGAAATTCCACCACATCGTAATGATCTTTTGTGGCAGCAAATTCCAATGGAGTGACATTTCTAGAATCCCGTGTATGGGGATCTGCATTTCCAATCTGCAAGAGAAGTTTTACAATCTTTAAATGGCCCCGTTCCGCTGCCCACGAGAGAGCTGTGCGCCGCGCATGGTCCAGATGATCAACAACAGTGTTGGGTGCGTGTTTGAGTATCAGGTGTACACAATCGGCGAATCCCTTTATGGCGGCGATATGTAGGGCTGTCTTCCCTAACAGATCGCAATATGCCAAGGTTGCGTCATTTTCTAGTAGGAGGGATGTGGATTCGGAATTCCCCAGAGAAACAGCGGTATATAAAGCATTTCCGAAATATATATCCTCATGGTCAATGTTTGCTCCCTTTTCCAGAACAATTTTGATAAGGTCAACATGATTCTCATATGTTGCCGCTGCTAGAGCGCGGTCCAGAGCATCTGTTTGGCGAGGGGAGCTCTGGTTCCTCAGCCGTAACTTCACGGACATCCTCGAATCGGTAAGATGTGCTAAAGCCACCCCACAAAGAGACTTGACACAACTCTCGAGTAGTACATCCCGGTCCTTCTGATAATCGTAGGGGAGATTTTTAACCATGTAGTCCGCTGTTGAATGTATAGCATTAACAAGCCCGCAAGATTCTCGAAAGCGGCCCCGAAGAGATAGTTCGACAGTCACCCGAGCCATAAATGCTGGATACAACTGCAAGAAACAAAATAGACCTGGTGACGTATCTGATATGACCCGTTCAACAAAAACGCTCAGAACATGGACGTCAAACCTCCCTAACAGAGAGTGTAAGCAGCAAATTCTGATCTGGGTGCATGTGGCCGCATTAACTATGCCACTCAAGAAACATTTTTTTTATTACTCACTGCATACATTTCTCAATCCTAATAGAGCCCTGAGAATGAGGAGTTCTTCATCATACTCGAACTCGTGGACTGTATGCGCACACATACCCTCGAATCGGATACTGTCAAGGGCGTTCTGAAGAACTAACCGCCATATTTCGTCTGGCAGATATGGGGTGCCTGACATCTCTATTGGGCTCTCAAATGCTTCAACTGAGATAAAGGATCAAAATGATTCCTTCTGAATGAATCTCTGGGCTTCTGCCTGCGGTTTGGGTTGCAAATTACGGAGTAAATACCAAAAGAAAAGAAGCCGTTCGGTTAAAAACACATCAAGACGAAAATTGGTAGTAATATCCAAAGAATCGGCCAATAACTGTCGTTCACTGGGATTCTAGCCCCAGCCACCAGTTATTTATTTGGCTGCTTGTTTGAATATCAAACAAGGCTGCCAACATGATAGTATTCTACGGAGTTCACTCTCGATTAAATATACGCTATTCTGATAGGCTGAAACAATATCAGGCACACGACAACATGACAACCTAACCACAATGCCCTTCCATCCCTTCAAACAACAACAAAGTTAACCCACCCACTTGATAAAGTTTGAAGCAACGGTGTCAACGACCGTGCGATTTGCCATTGTCGTTGCAGAAATGTTCATAACATAAATGACTATCCGTCACAGCCGCATCGCATAGCGCCGATCGTTCCTTAGCAAGCCGCCCCGAGGATGCCCACTATATATGCTGCCAACATAGAGTGAAATTAAGTGCTCAGGGGATGCCATCTGTTCCTTTCGTTGTGGGCAGTTCTTCATGCAACTCGCTCAAAACACATTTGAAGTCATCGAAATATATCCTCGCGGTTCTTGGGGCTGGGCCGCCATTGGGACCTACATTGATGGGCTGGCTTTTAGAGTACTCACAGTGTTCGGCGATTAAGTACACACGGCGCATTCTTCGAGGACCAAGTTCTGAGATCATGGTTCTATAACGATGGCTGGAGAAGGGTGGTGAAGGCAGAACCCAACAAAGCGCACTACCCCTTGCGGGGCTATCTCGAAAACTAGGAATGTTGACCGTGTGTCGGAACACGGATGGTGAGCCATTCTCAATCGGATAGCTGGGGTTCCACAGGTTTTCTAAAACTAGAATTAACAATTGCAACAACGTAGGACTGTTCCCCTGTGCCGAACAACCCGAGCCTTCTCCTATCTACCTGCAGGTTGATTTTTTCACGATCAAATGTAGCTCGGAGGCTGCACATATACTTGCAAAGATGATAATGATCCAACAGTGGTGGCCCTCACCCTTCCGGGCACTCGTCCTATCTCCGATCCAGATTTCCCTTCACCTCAAATCCCAGAGGAGTCACTTCCTTGCTGACCCATCTGTTCATCTTTGCTCCGCCCACTACGACATGCCTGGAGAAGCCATGCTTCCTGCCGAGGTTAAGAGGGTTGACCACTGTTTACAGCAAGCTGACAGAGACTCTGACAAACATGATCATATGGATTGGGTGCTAGTAATCGGGTGCTTGTAATCGGTATTTCTGCTACCGTCAATCCTGACCCAGGCGAGGAAAAAGGCTGCGGAAGTCAGCTTGGTGAACCCTGGTCGTGAGTCTGCGCAAAAAGTGGGAGGATTGGACGAAGGAAATTGGTGGTTTGGAGGCGGTGCGGAAGAATGATTGCCGGAGATTTCCAGGGAAGTCATCGGGAACTCTGAGGAGGCTTCGTAGAAAACCCATTGCAAGCGGAATTTCCGAAGGTTTGGTTAGACTCAATGGTACTCGTATTCTCGAAATGCCCAATGGTTGATATATGTTTATGCCGTCAAAGTAACTCACGTGTGTTGACCCGGAGAGTGGCTGTAAACCGTGCTCGCGCTCATACAGTATAGCATCTCCACAAAAAAGATTGTTAGATTCCCTGGTCCAAAAAGCGGTAGCTCTATGGCGGAGATCATGATATTTTGATCCAAGTTATCCGCAGTTTTAACTAGTTATTCCAGCTGGCTCGTTGTGATTACATAAGCGCCTAACAGACCACCTCCCAGAAAATCGAGGTTGAGCCTAACCCCTAGATATAAAAATCCATGGATACTATGTACAGCTCCAATCAATCAACAACTGCGAGCCATTCATTTCTTCCCGTGAGATCCTATCCCTGACCTTGCCCTTGGCATTATTGCCGCGGTGTATTCTCTCATGGGATCTGGTTTGCGTATACCAACTCTACCTCCCTGATCTCGCCTCAAAAGCCAGCACTGGCATCATGTAAGTGGATGTGGTCATAGACAGCAGCGAGTCTTTATAATAGAACCAATCTAACATTGACACACAAAGGCCGCGCCTTGTCGATAACTCTCAGATACAGTCTGCGTCGTTACATAATCCTCTTCCTCTTCAGCTTCATGCCTATGTTTGGCCATTTCTGATCATATGGCCTACCTTCCTTGCTGTCTATCTCTCTCCCGAACGTTATGATACGTATATCCAGGGTTCAGAATGGACTTTTCTTTGGGCAGGAGGAATCTTTACCCTACAGGCCCTGGTATGGCTGTCTACGAAATGGAACGTTAATGTCCAAGCTTTGTTCACGACGTCTACGGCGAAATCGGTTTACTCCGCCAAACTTATCAAAGTTTCGCCGGTAGTCAACGCCGGGTCTGCGGAAATTTGTCCGTTGCTTCGAGAAAAATACGCAGGAAAGGATGATATCTCTTTCCTGTTTCAGAAGCGCCGATTTTTGTATTATCCGGATAGAAATACATTCGCACCCCTTTCGTACGCTATTGACACGGAACCGAAGCCTCTCCTCAAAACCTTCCAGCACAGTCAAGGGTTGAAGACGGATAAGGAAATTGGTGAGAATCAAAACCACTATGGGGACAATACGTTCGACATTCCTGTTCCTACTTTCACTGAGCTCTTCAAGGAACATGCTGTCGCGCCCTTCTTCGTGTTTCAAGTCTTTTGTGTCGGGCTCTGGCTGTTAGACGAATACTGGTATTATTCGCTATTCACCCTCCTTATGTTGGTGACTTTCGAAAGTACCGTCGTGTGGCAACGGCAGAGAACACTTAATGAATTCCGAGGGATGAGCATAAAGCCGTACGAAGTTTGGGTTTACCGAAAGAACGCCTGGACTGAGATCAAGAGTGATAAGTTACTTCCCGGGGACGTTCTATCGGTCAACCGGACAAGGGAAGACAGCGGCGTAGCTTGCGATATCCTCATGATTGAGGGCAGTGTGATCGTTAATGAGGCCATGCTCTCTGGCGAAAGTACTCCTCTCCTCAAAGACTCCATCCAACTTCGACCCGAGGACGACCAACTTGATCCGGAGGGCTTGGACAAGAATTCGTTCTTGTATGGTGGGACAAAGGTTCTACAAATCACACATCCCAACTCTGCGGCCTCACCCCCCAATGGTATTCCAACCCCTCCTGACAATGGTGCCCTGGGTGTTGTCGTGAAAACTGGCTTTGAAACCAGCCAGGGCAGCCTTGTTCGCACCATGATTTATTCTACAGAGCGCGTTTCTGCGAACAATGTGGAAGCCCTGTTATTTATTCTGTTCCTCCTAACGTTTGCCATTGCGGCCTCTTGGTATGTCTGGCAGGAAGGTGTAGCAAAGGACCGGAAACGATCCAAGTTACTGTTAGATTGCGTTTTGATCATCACAAGTGTCGTTCCTCCTGAGCTTCCGATGGAATTGAGCCTAGCAGTTAACACCAGTCTGACTGCCCTCAGCAAGTTTGCAATTTTCTGTACCGAACCATTCCGAATCCCCTACGCTGGACGGATTGATATTGCGTGCTTTGATAAAACTGGAACCCTAACCGGCGAAGATCTCTTGGTGGATGGAATCGCTGGCCTTACCTTGGGTCATGCGAGCGCAAAGACTGACAAACATGGAGCTCACACCGATATTACCCCCGTTGAGAAAGTTGCGAATGAGACAACTCTTGTTCTCGCCACAGCACACGCCTTGGTGAAATTGGATGAAGGGGAAATTGTTGGTGACCCGATGGAAAAAGCGACATTGAACTCTCTCGGATGGGTTCTGGGTCGTGATGATATTTTGACAAGCAAAGCCACTGGTGCTTCACGGCAACCTGGAAGGGCTCTCGATTCTGTTCAAATTAAACGACGATTCCAGTTTTCTTCTGCTCTAAAACGTCAGAGTGCAATTGCCACGGTTATTAGCACTGATCGTCAGACCTCGAAAAAACTCAGAGGGACATTTGTTGGCGTCAAAGGAGCCCCTGAAACCATCAGGACCATGCTTGTTTCTACCCCTCCTTATTATGAAGAA